ATACAAAACTTAGGTAAACATGGTAACAAAAAGTTAGTGGTAATGATATACTGTTCTGTTAGTTGCTAAATCGTCCATCAAAATTTTAACCACGACTCTTAAGTTTTTGTCATTATAGTTCTGATCCTTCAGGGGCATTTACAATCAAGTCCACAAAAATGACTCCAGTAACTACTTATGGGTCAATCAGGTTAACTTTTTGGACATCTGCTTTTGTTTTGTCCTTGTCTAGAAGCCTAAGAGCCACTCCTTCTAAGCCTCTTTGTTGCTTCAACTTGGACAAAAGGGTCTAGTTGCCACTGACTCCCACCTGATCTGTTTGTTATCCCCACTTGCCCCACCCCCTGCATGTGGGACCAAAACCAACCAAACAAACAAAATCCAGAAAAGAGCAAATCCTCACAATGAAGAAAAAAACAAGCAATCAAGAAAGATCTTCTCTCTACGGCCATATCACCCTGAGTACCCCTGATCTCATCTGATCTCATCAGCTAAGCAGGGTCGGGCCTGGTTAGTACTTGAATGGGAGACAGACCTTCAGAGGAGCCTACTCAGAGACACGCAGTTTGGAGACAAGGGGGGAATGCCATCAAATTCCCATGGAGTCACTGGAGCCAGACCTCTCAAAAATAACCAAGGCCGAGGATGAGGAAATGGTTCTTATGAATGTGTGGCTATCGGTATTAAAGCCCTTCCAGACACAAACTCATATTTTTAGACAAGGTCTTCTACTTAAATAGAGACAAAATAACTATTTTTACTGGCTCTACACATGTCCTTTTGATACTTAAAGATGGTGGTGTTAACTTTTTTTTAAAAAGAACAACGTGTTTTCTTGGACATACATACAGATAATATTGTTGCCATGGTAATTCTACTCAGTAAAAAAAATTGTCTGGGTAATATAAATAAAATGTCCACCCATTAAAACCCCATTCGAGGGGCCCTTTTGTTGTTATCTTGTCTACTCCCACCGGGGTTAAAGTGGCAGAGACTGCTCCTTGGATCCACCACAGTTGAGTCAAGCCAGCTTCTCTAGAGTGGGAGTGCATCCCTGATCAGATTCACCATGCAGGATCACCCTCCAGAACCTGAGCACCCTCCCTTGATAGGACTCTGCTTCCCAGGAAACAACGGGGCACCAAGAACAACGGGATGACAGCCCTGCTCTAGTCACCACCACCCCTTTCCCCGGAAAGCTGACTAGTGTACACACAGCAGAAGCTTGGGGCTGTTTTTCACCCCAGTTATGTCACTGTAATGCATTGTCACCCCTTGTCTGTATCTGCTGCTGTAGTTCTCACCCCAGTCTTCGCCATAGGCTTGGCAGAAACTGCCCCCGCTGATTGATCTCATGGTGAAAGGTTTTTATAGCTCTCTTCTATCTCTTTTGGGCAGGATGCATAATTACTATTTATTACTACTGATCTGGTTTAACAAAGGACAAAATATGCAGCCCTCCTTCACAAGGGGAAAGCTGCCCCTAACTACACCAGTGGTACCTGTAAGCTTGTAAATTTCACTGTGCTTAAGCCATCTGGTTAAACACGGCAAAAGTAATTGATAGAAAAATAGATAAAAAGGGTCTTCACCCTGAGAGTCTGATACACCTCAAATTAGAAACTGTTACCCAGACAGTTCCTCATACCAAGTTTTCACTCCTTTTATGAGGAAATGCGGAAGGAATTTTCCATCTCTGCCAAAGCTAAAAACTTGCTCCTCTCACTGGTTGAGTCTATATATGCTCAATCACATCCTCAGGCTGCAGGCCGTTTTGAAATTATAACTAATGAAACTGCAAGCACCATCATTTGCTGACAAACAAAGCACTAAGATGCACAATACCATCTATCACAACTGCTTGGATTTAGACTATTTGCTTGCTTCTGAAAAAGAAGTTTGTAAGAAAATTTAACCCAAACAACTGCTGCTTACAAATTAATGATTTTAAAAGGTTGTAAAAGAGATCACAGACAGAACAAAAAAGCTTGTCCATGTCCCATCTAGGCTTGGAGAGGATGGGATCCCGTGACCTGTCTGGAGGATGGTTTTCTGCTTTAGTTGGATTCAAAACCCTGATAGGGCAATGGGCCTAATCCCAGGGGCATGCTTAATATTGGCCAGCCTGGTTCCCCTGGTGCTGTGGCTTATCAAGAATATTATAAATGCCGTTACAGAAAGAAATCAGCCACACATTAATAATACTATAAAAATACAAACCCCAAATAAATGTAGCAGGAGGAGGATCAGAAGAAAACAGTCTAGCCTGAGTCCTGAGAAAGTAGCAGGGAGGTAGGGACGGCATAGCAGAGAGATAAAACCTGAGAAATGTGAACATGAGGAAGTCATGTAGCACTAGGACGGGAAAGTCACATAACATTGGGATAAAGTAGCCAGTAAAATTAAATATAACCATCTATGGACTAGACCTTGCTTTTTGCTTCTGTTACCTGCTTGCAAGTTCATATAAGGTGAGACCCCTTTGTTCTCAGGCTCGCCTTTGGATATGAGTCTGCTGAGTCTGTCTGGCACAATAAAATGTTGTTTCTTGCTAATGCCTCAAGAGTCCCGTATCTCAGCCAGCAAACTCCCGCAACACAGGTGCATGCTACACATATCAGCATATATTTAAAAGTGGTGGCCACTCTGTAATCCCAGCACTTAGAAGCTGAGGGAAAAAAAGGATTATTAATTCAAGGCCACCTGGGCTACCTAATGAGACTCTGGCCCCAAAACTGAGGCCTGCAGGTGTATACAGCATGCACAAATGCTTGCATAGCACGTGCAAAGCCCTGGTGTCAAGCCTTGGTCCTACTAAAAAATTAAAATTAATTCTCAGTTGGGCAGTGTAATCCTAGCTACTTGAGAAGAAGAAGCAAGAGGATCTAGGATCAAGACAGCCCAGGCAAAAAAACAAGATTCTATTTCAAAAATACCAACACTAAGAAAAAGGACTGAAAGTTGGGTAAAGAGGTACAGTGCCTGCCTAGCAAGCACGAGGCACTGAGTTTCAATTCCAGTACTGCAAAAAATTAATTAATTAATTAATGGAAGTTCTTAATTTCCACTCTTAGGAATGTACTTTAGGAAAGAATTCCATGAATTGTGTGTAGTGAAAATCAGTGTGAGTTAGCAATTTATAGCAAACTAAAGTCAAAAGAAGAAATTATAACACATTTAATCAGAGATCTAATTGCTCTTTTGCAATTCATGGATGGGGCAGCCTCCATGCTACAAGGTAAGATGAGCACTCACCTGGCCATGGCTATAGAAGCTACAAGGGGCAACAAGGAAACAGACCAATGGGAGAGTTAGAGTTGATTATGAGGCAGTTGGCATGAGTGACTCCATTTTTGTTTGGTCTGTTCTGCTGGGGTCTAGAGCAGGAACTAGGTCCAAAACTGTATTCTCACATGTTAAGTCTAATAGTAATAGCAAATGGTCTACTAAGAGTTTTCCTGTGAGCCTCCTCTGTGCAGTTCTGAAGACAAATACAACACAGGATTGAGCCTGGAAATTTAAAAGTGATGCCGTGGTCTGAAAAGATTTTTCATACAGTAGTGGCCTGGAATAACACAGAGGGTGATAAGAAGTAAATGAGATCTTTCCAAAAGAAGAATCATAGAACAGATTCCTAAGAAACACGCCCTGAGATAGAGATTATCATAGACGGATTCCTGAGAAGCATGGGTTGAGATATTGATATTGTGGAATTGATTTACTGAAGGAAGCTGCCAGGAGAAGGACATGAGACAACGAGGGGGAGAAGGGGAGAGCTGAATTGAACATGATGACTTTAGTCTGACCACAGAGAGAACCACAGGACTGGAAGAGCACACGGAGCTGGTCCTTTTCTTGGGAAAGATGGCCCTTTGTGCCCCATCAGTAAGTCATTGCTCCATCCTGCCAATAGGTTGAGGGATGGAGGACAGCATGGCCTCCCTGCTGGAATGACCTGCTTGACCTATACACTTCCATGAGCACATCAAATAGCAAAACAAAAACAAAACTACAACAAGAAGACAGTGCTGACAATTTAAATGGTTGAGATAAAACTTTAAAGAGCAACTAATGGAGGGTGAATGAAGGAGATTACGTGAGAGAATATGGCAGGTGGACAAATCTGAAATAGAACAAAGAAACCTCTTACAATTGATTTAAGTGTGGTGGGGAGAGGAGATGGGCGGAGGGTGGGTGAGCTAATCAATGTAAAATAGAGCCTATTTGAATTGTCACAATGAATCCCCTTTGTACAAAAAAATGTATCCTCATAAAAGTAAAAAAAATAGTGCTAATAATTTGTACTAATTTTGAAAAACACTGATATGGATGGACCATATCAAAATAAGCACCAATTAAATTTTAAGACTTTTTAAAAAATGAAAATAACAACAAAAAGCCCACAAACCAGTTGCATGAAGATAGATAGTCCATAAGTCCTGGCCACATTTCATGGCCTTTAACTATGTTTTGAAGTCTATCGTGATGAGTAGCTGCTTTTCTCTTTTAGTGTAAAGACTCAGCACTGTTCTTGTGAAGGCGCTGACTTCACCTCGGATTCTAGAACAGCAAAGCTGGCAGGTGGATCATCTCACATGGACACTGCTGCCTACCTAAAGATTGAGTCCATGGTGACCACTGGAGCTGCCCTGTGAGCAGGAGCAGTCATCTCACGGTGGATTTTAGACCCACTCACCCTCTCTGTTCCCTGTTTCTCATGCACCTCATCCTTCGTCAGTAACTATTCTGTGCATCACAGTCTCAGTCAGCACAGGAGGCAGGATTAGGACAGTCTGATTCTGACACCCCATTCTTTCTCACCCTGCTGGGAGGGGCTTGGAAATAGGTGAGAAGCAAGAGGGCGGGGCTACCAGGGATCCTTTATATGGTGCAGCTCCTGGAGACCAGAAGAATAGACCCAGTGTCAAAGAGCCACAAGAGAGACACAGCAATGGCAGAAAAACAGGAGAGTTGAAAAGGGACTGCAATGACCTTGGCCCATGGCGGTACCATAGTGCATACTAATTGAGCAGGAGTGTGCCACTGAGGTGCCTGTGAGCTGCACTGCGTGTGGAAGGGGAGGGCAGGTGGAAAGAGAAATGAAAGTGAGGGAGAAGGAGACAGAGAGAGAGAGAGAGAGAGAGAGAGAGAGAGAGAGAGAGAGAGAGAGAGAGAGAGAGATTGAGAGATTCTATGACTGAGTATTGATCAGGGAGTGTAAATGTCTCCTATTCTGTGTGTGAATTTTCTTCTCTCCCACAGCAATGACAATGTTCAATGTCTGTGGACCTTTCTATGTGTCACTGGCAGAATGTTGGGAGACTTAGAGACTGGGCTTACCTGAAGACCCATCTCTAAGCACTGACAAGAGAGAATGAATGTGGCTTTAATGTCTCCTCTTGAGAACAGTGGAGGAGGATGAGCTCACACAGTGGGGTGCTGGATCATTAAGCTGGGTCTGTACACAGTGGCTCAGGCTACATGTACCCTACCTGAGATCTCCTAGAAGTGGTGTTGCAGAAAGGGCTCTCCCCTTCTCATAGATAACCCAGTATGGAGCATAAAAATACAGTGATTACGATTAAGGTTTTACATGTATTACTTTCTATCTCCCTGAGAATACTCTATGAAGTTGGAATTTCTAGTGATCTCCTGTAAACTGAGTCAGGCCCTGCCCAGGTAATGTATCTCTAATCCCACTGCTAGTAAGGATCAGAATCAGGATTTGAATCCAGTTAGCCTGACTCTTCTACAACCCTTCTGCTTTGTCAAGAATACAGGGACCTGGCTTTGGACGGGGGGCAGGAGAGGAGGGTCCTCAGAGCCTGTCCTTCAATCTCTAACCTGCCACACCACTGGCACCACTGGAACTCTCATAGGAAGAGAGCTGTCATCTTGCTCACCCCTCTTATCCACACTTCATTCCCACGGCAGGTCCCATGCACACAGAAAGTGGCCTTGTCCGTTGGTTCTTCAGTGATAATCAAAGGGACACCCTGCATCTCTTTTGCATGAGTTCTCTTTATACATGGGGTGGAATGAAATGTGCTTTGGGGCAACCTGTGTCTCAGTGACATTGGAGTGTTTGACTGCAGGTTGGCACCTGTCTTAGACCCCACCAAGCATTAAACATGGTCTGTGGGCAGATATGAGGGACAGTGGGAAGAGATCACTCCATGGGTTGGGGCTGTGGCTCTTTATCAAAGGGCATGCACTTTTCAGGGGATGGATCACCCATCAGTCAATGACTGATGCTAAGTTTTAGTTTTGGTCTAAGTAAGAAACAGAGCACTTCACTGCCCTGCTTCATTGGACAAAGACTATAGTATCATCCAGGAAGGCCTTCCTTGCACTGTGAAGAGTAACTTAGGAAGAATTTGTTTTTGATCTAATGTGTGTGTCACCACAAGAAAGGGTCCTGCCAACACATCATGTGATTTGCCCAGCAGAAATGACCCCGAATTGCAAGTGGATTTCCATATCAGCCCCGATGAGAAGTCTGACATCGCCTTCCATTTCCGAGTCTACTTTGGGCGTCTTGTGGTCATGAACACTCGTCAGAGTGGAAAGTGGGAAAATGAGGTGAAATCTTCCACAATGCCCTTTGAGGATGGCAAGCCATTTGACCTGCACCTCTTGGTGCTGCACAATGAGTACCAGGTGAGTGACCCTGGGAATGGCCCCTACTCAGCATCTATGGGATCCCAAAGGAGGACACTGCTCACCTGGCCTGGCTGCAAAAGCCCTGTGGAGTCCATCTTTCAGAAGTACTGGCTTTTAGTTCCAGAGCACCTTCTGCTCATCACCATCCTCAGTTCTTTCCCCAAATCTGAACAGGGTCAAGGTCAAGGTCAACTCACAGGCAACTTGACCTAAGGTCAAAAATTTCTTCTGTCTTCACCCACAGCTTTTCTTCCTTCTTATTTTGTTAAATAAATATCCAAGTATCTAAATAATTAAAACTGCATTTGAAAAGTTATCTTAATCAGCCTAAACTTAAGGCTTCCTGTCACCTCTGAACACCAATCCCTTTCCCAATAACAACTATTTTTGGCTGATTTGCCTCCTTCTAGAAATAACCTGTACTTATACAAGCACTGTATGTATAAATACATATAAATATAAATAACATAAATATTTATATGTTTTCATTTTTAAAATAAATGATAGTATCAATTTCTCTTTACATTACAACTTGGGAGCTAGAGGTTTTTGTTGTCAAATAATGAATCTTGCCAGGCACTGGTGGATCATATCTATAATCATAGTTGATCAGGAGGATGACAGTTTTCAGCCAGCCCCAGACAAATACTTGTATTGTAATGTCACCCTGTAGCCAATAAACACGTCTAGGTACTACTTGTCATTTAAAAATGAATACATGGGGTTCAGTATGGTGGCTTATTTCTGTAATCCCAGCACTGCGGAGGTTGAAGCAGGATTGAGATTTGGAGGTCAGGCTGGGCTACAGCCTATAGATACACCCAGTCTCAAATAAGAAATAAACAAAATTTAAATATATGTAATTTTATAAAAACTGTATCTTAGAAAATTATTGTGACCCATTTTCCCTCCTATAGGTCATAGTAAACAGGCAATACTGTTACAGCTTTGCCCATCGAATCCAGCCAAGCTCTGTGCAGATGGTTCAGGTGTGGAGAGACATCCGCCTGACCTCCGTGGATGTCGTCTAGATAAAGTGACCACTCTCTCCCTCTGTGAGGACACCCTCGCTCTAGACGACCATGGGATTCCCAGAGCCTCTAACAGAACACTTCCTTCTCACCCCTGCTACACAAGGTCATTAAAGTTAAACCTCTACCAAACTTCATAAGAGTTTGTTTTTGCCTTAGAGGGGAATAAAGTAAGTGTCATCACCAAGATGGCTGTGGGAGTTCCATGGGGGAGATTAAGTAATCAAAGAGGAAAAATCTTCTGCAATGTAAGGAGTGAGTCACAAGCTCACTGAACTGTCTGAACATAGCAAGGACATCCTTATATTGGACTTATCACATGTCAGATGCTCTCAGCCAAATCCTAACCCTGTTGCAAATGACTGAACTGAAATTTTTAGACATCTGTCCACACCCAGAGCTGTAATTGTAATTGAGGAAAATCAGATAGAATTCATTAATTGCTCGTTTGAAGGATGTTCATATGTGTCACCAGTAGACCTGGCTGGAGGAGTTGAAGACAGGACATGACAAAGTTAGCATTTGAAATTCTTGTCAGGCATGGTGATTTATGCCTGCAATCCAGGACTTGGGAGGCTGAAGCAGGAGAATCATGAGTTTGAGGTACCTTGGGATACATAAAGACCTGCTCTCTTAAAAAAAAAGAAAGAAAAGAGAGAGCGGGGCGTCCAGCTTTCGAGACATTTCCTTGTCGTGATAGTGACAAAAAGAGCGAATTAAAGATGGGATGTTGAAAAAGGCAAGAAGATTTTTGTTCAGAAGTGTGCCAGTGCCACACAGTGGAAAAGGGAGGCAGCACAAGACTGGGCCAAATCTCCATGGTCTGTTTGGGCACAAGACAGGTCAGGCCCCTGGGTTTTCTTACACAGATGCCAACAAGAACAAAGGTATCACCTGGGAGAGGATACACTGATGGTATTTGGAGAATCCCAAAAAGTACATCCCTGTAACAAAAATGATCTTTGCTGGCATTAAGAAGAAGGGAGAAAGGGCAGACTTGATAGCTTATCTCAAAAGGCTACCATGAGTAATACCCACTGCCTTATTTATTACAAAACAGAAATGTCACATGGCTTTTTATGTGTACCATAATTTAATCTTACAACACCAGAATTCAAATCATGAATGGCTGACAGAATATTTTTGTTGACAGTCCTGATTTAAGCAAATTGGCTTGTAGTTAAGTAAATGTGTCTTTTTTTCAAAAGCAATTCCAGTTAAGTAAAATATTGTCACTGTTTCCCCTTTCTAAAGATATGATTGACTTAATTAGTAATATTCAAGCCTTTCACAGATGGGAACACCATCTCAAAACCTAGTAACAATTGGTTTTATATTTACATTTATATAGTTGGTTGTGTGATGTTTAAATTACTGGGGGGTTCCCTTCACTATCTCAAAACCAGGCAAAAACTCACTATGTTTCAGTTTGTGATCATTTGCCTGTTAAAGGCAATATTGAAGATAAGGAAGCAATGTCTGTATTTTGGTCTTGACTACTACCAATTTAAGTAGAATTCCCGTATTTAAAATGCTGCTTTTACTTGCTAAAGGCATTTTAGTGTGGTTTATGTAATAATATCAAAATAAAGAATATTTAAATTTAAAAAAAAAGAAAGAAA